ACTCCTCTTTAAACAAAAGATCAAGAGCAGCAAAAGGTAGATACACAATCAGTGTACACTGTGTATAACCCATCATTATTATCTGATAATTACAAGCAACATAACTTATGTACAATACCACAATTATTTCTGTTTAAACAATGCACATAATATTTGTTTATCAAAAGGTGTGTTAAATGAGACATGTGATGTATTTTTTTACAAATTTTAGAAGATATGTCTGGTAATAAGAGGATTGAGATAGACTCTGAAGATCCTTATGACAGCAAAAACACATTTAATAAAAGACAGTCCTCTGGTATAATATTTCAAATTCTTTATTATTATTATTAATATTTATATTAGATGAGAATAGCAAATCTTACTCTAGTAGTAAGAGAATTCCTACTGATGATAAAGGAAGACAACCTCAAGGTATGCGAAACAATCAGTTCACTGATTCTTTAATCAAGTAGGAGCTGACTCAGTAAGTAAGAAAAGGAAACTAAATGAAGATCACTCAAGGTTTAAAATGACTGTCACTACAGAAACACAAAGCTATGATACAAGTATAATTATTTATGTCAAATTCACCATTGTGTCATCATTATGTTACAAATGATTATGAAAATAATACATCACTTGACCTATAAATTCAATCATCATAATGTATTATTACTATAGGTGAAGATATTTCTGCAAATAAGAGACAGAAATTAACTGATACTGAAATGACTGACTATGAACCAGTTGGGTGTACATCTAATAATGAAATACAGCTTCAAGACTGTCTCAATGTTACTCTGAGTAAGTACATGTACAATAATTACTGTCAATATTATTAACAATATTGCAGGTATTGGTGATTTGGATGCTGTGTTTGAATTGTTATCAAATTCATTTAATCGATGGAAGGCATTAGGACTAAAACTGGGTATCAATTACATCACACTAGATAATATTAAAAGTGAGGAAAACAAGGTACAAGATTGTCTAATGGAGATGCTAGCTGCTTGGTTGAGAAAACAAGATAAAGTAGTCAATCCTACTTGGAAGCAACTGATAGATTCATTGAGAAAAATAGGAGAAAATGCTCTTGCTGAGGAAATAGAAACAAAAATTACAAACCAATAAATAATTTATTATGTCATACTATTTATAAATGTAAGCTACATTAATAACCAGCACACAAGAGTCATCATTATTTTTACCCCTTTTATATGCATTATTTGATCACTTGTTTTTTTGCTACACAATCACTTATCATTACACTTTTGTCACTTAACATTAATTTTTTGTTTATAAATCATAAAACCATACAATTTTGATATTTAAAATATTAAATAGAAATTATTATAATTATAATAGTCATTTCACAAATCATTTCTTGAAGGAGGAACAATCTAAAACAAAAAGAAGATAAATACATTATGTCCTCTTGACCATCTCATCCTCTCTCTCTCTCATCTCAGGAGCCATTATTCTCTCTCTCCCTTACCTTCACTTGTTGTCACCTCCTCCTCCTCCTCCTC